AAAATAAAACGTTGAGTTATAAAAAATTTCAAATTACTAGACGAATCATGTACACCCTCAGTGCTTTGCGTGCTAATACCCAGACTTCAATATGTAGATACACGTTGTTTGCTTATTTTGTAAGAAAAACAAGTTATTAAATTTAAAAAATAATAATAATACTAGTATATAGAAGAAAAAACAAGTGATTAAATTAAAAAAATAATAATAATTCTAGTATATGTGTAAATTATCAGTCACAGTGAGCAGTCTCAACTAATCACACGACGAATAATATTAACATTAAATTCGGGAATAAATGCTTAGCTGGTTCTTAAAATTTGTGATGGCATCATTGAATCAATTGGATTAAATCAGAGTTTATTGTACTTATTTGTAATTCACTGTATGCGAGTCGTTGCAGTGGAGAGCTGATACCATGCCACCTAGATAGGCAGCCTTATACATAAATATCTTACAATTTTACTAGGAATATCTAGGATTGCATGTCCTGCAAAGTGAGCCAAGTGAAGAATTCGGGTTAAAATATGCCGCTGTGAATAAAAAAATTCTTTAAAAATAGTGTTTGTTCCTTTTACTTTCTTTATTTATTCTAGAGGATTCTTTATAATTATCTGTTATAGCTTGACACCCTGGAAATAATAATTTTCGTTTTTGTCCTCGATTTTTATCTAAAATTTTTTTAGGCATATCCTTAAGATGGGACTTATCTTGCTCGTAATACCATGTACTGTGAGAAAAAATTATGAACTTGGCTTTCAGAGGAAGTGACACCGTTTTGCCGAGATTTAAATATTAAAATTATATCTGTGTAGATGATGTGCTTAGGTATAATAGCATGTAAATTTGCGGAAAAACGATGTCGCCTCCACTGAAATCCGTGTTCATAATTTTTTCCTCATAGTTACATGACATTGCAAGTAACAGGCAAGTAAAATATGTCTGGTTTCAAGGGAGTGCCTCAAAAAAATTTTTATTTAAAAATCTGGGACAAAAACAGGATATTTTTTGTGGATTTCCTTATGTAAAATACTACATGTTCTGATCATAATAAAATTTTAAATATGATTTTTTGATTATTTTGCGATAAAACAATGTGCATAATAACCACTTGTAATCAATTTCTCATAATAATTTATAATTTATCATGTTTTTTGTATCACATAATCAACTTTTTTGTTAAACCTTATCAATCTATTCAATTATTATATTATAGCGTATTTTTAATCACACGAGAGGCTTGATAAAAAGCGTCGTTCTAAGTAAAAATTGAAAAACTGATCAAAATTCCGCATAACTTTTAAAAACTTACTTTTGATATAAATAAAGTTTGTTTTAAACTCGTTGTATACATGAGAATTTCTTGAATAATGCATTATTTATCAATTCTAATTACTTTTTGATACAACAGATCTCGTTCAAGCTTCAATACGTTACGAATTCAAAACTCAAACACTGTAGCAGCCAAAAAATTCTTAAAAAGGTTTTATAAATAATTAAAAAATATTTATCTTGAAAAATTTATTATTTTATTTCTGAAGTTGTGTTTTTAAGATTTATTACAAAAAATTTTAGTATAAAAATATTTACAATCATGCAAAATTTTTTACAATGTCACGTCACCTCTTAGACGAAGTTTAGAGATAATTACTAATTATATTCCAAATTATTTTTTGGAACTACATATTTTTACATGTAAAGCAGGATATTTCAAACAGTGTCAGACATTTTATGCCACTCTAGTGAATGTTTCTCTAGATTGATTTTTTCTAGACAAATGCTTCACTTTATTACATATAAAAATTACTTATCGATAAATTGATGCTAAGAATATGATTGTTTTCATGAGGTGAGGGGTAAAGAGTAAACAAAAAATTACTCAACTCGAAAAAAAAACTATTTACGTGTTGGCAATAAGCCAATGATTTTATACATAGGTAACTATATATGTATTTTTAAAATATACAACTGTACTAATTATAGTAAGAATCAATCAAGTAAATATTTTAATTGGTTTGAATGACATTATTTTGTAAATACTTACACGATCCATTCACTATGGAAGAAAATTTGTTGGTGATAAAAAATTATTGAAAATCAGTCTTTTCTTTAACTACATTTAAATTAATTATCTTTCGGGCTGTATACAATACATTTACAATGTAATAATTTCTTTATTTTACGACCCAGTAAAAAATTCACAAGCGCTGCCAAGATAACTAATGACTTTCTGTTTATAGGTACTTAAACATTTTAAAAATGTAATATAAAAATACACTTGTAGTATACACAGTCTAGTGCTTGGACCACGGCATGGGACTATCCGAAAATTTAAGTTTTTAATAATATATAAATAATTGATAATCATGAAGCCTTTTTTTTTAATTAAGAAAAATCTTTTTTAACGATTTCAAACTTGATTTCCGGTTTTTCTGTTATGTAATGTAACTAAATTTTTTTTAAATGCCATAAAGAGGTTCTTTTTTGTTTGGTTGGATTACGTTCAACTATTTTTTTAAAAATTCCAATACATTGCAGATGAAAATAGGAACAAGAAGTAATTTATTTTCCTACTGAATTTGAGTGGAAATAAAAAAAGATACAGAAGGTCAATAATATAAAAATATTACTATGTTCACATACAGATTAGGTTGAAAATGATGATGCTATACTAGAGTTTTAAATTTTTACCAAGATGAGAACTGCCAAACGTGCCACCCATCACCTCGATCACTTTAATTTTCGTCGTCATGTTAAATTTAAGGTAAACTTGGTGTTAAGAGCAATAAATCCTAATGGATAAATCTATTGTGTGGATGAAACTGTGCAAATAAATTAATTACAATATTGTACTACATTTCCGAAACTGCATAACATTTNTCTATGCAGCGGACCTCAAAAAAAAATCATAGTAGGCGTACAAATTTCAAATACCATTGAATTGGATACCTAATGGGATTTAAATTATAAAGGTTTTATCGCAATTAACTTAAACATATAATTCTTGTAAAATAATTTATTTGTAGAAAAATAGGTTTTACTTTTATACATAATACATAGCATTAAATTTAACATACTCGTGATTTAACAAAATTGTTTACAATATAACATCACCTTTTATACAAAGTTTCGAACGAATAGTAAATATGTTCGTCACATCGCCATGTTTGAGACAGTAGTCGTACAATTTCATAAAGTAAGTCACAGCATTGGATCCAGTATTACTTAATATTTTACATGTATTGCTTAAATTGATGACTTTTTCTTCGACAACCCTTAGATACGTAGTTTTGTCGTCTTTGTCATCGAACCAAAGATCAAACAAATCTTTAAAAGTTTTCGAGGCACTAGATTTGGCTCCTTGCAAGATGTGACATATGTCAATCAAAGGAACGCCATTTTCGTTGATAATTCTTAGATAACGTATTTTATTTCCTTCGTTGTCGAACCAAAGTTCGCACAAATTTCTAAATGCATTTGGAGTTTGTAGACCTGAGCCACTTAGAATTTTCGACATGTCGGATAAATTCACTCCTTCGTTGTTCAACATTTTCAAACATAACTTTTTGTTTTTATACTTACCAAACCAAATATCGTACAGTTGTTCAAAGATACTCACTGTATATGGTTTTGTTCTTTTTAAAAAGTCAAAAATTGTTAGTAAGCTAATATTATATTTTTCACAAGTTAACAGGTAATCTGATTTATTTCCTTTTTCATCAAAAAAAAATTGTAGCACAGCTTGAAAAGTGTCTGAATTTTGTTCTGTCCTGTTAAAAAAATCATAAATATTTGACACACTAATTCCGTATTCTTCAATGGCTTTCAAATATTCTGTTTTTTTTCCTCTATCGTCGAACCACAGATTGTACATAATTAAAAAGTCCTTAACGATATTTATACGACTTTTTTTTAGAAATTTAGATAATTTATCTAAAGTTATATTATTTTCAAGAAGAGTTTCCAAATAGATGGTTTTTTCACCTTTTCCATCGAACCAAAGATCGTACAAATTCTTTAAGTTTTCACCAGCATTTGTACCTTTGTTAGGAAGTATAGTAATGATGTTTGATATTCCAAGACCATTTTTTTTTAAGCTTTGCAAATAAACTGATTCATTTCCATGTTCGTCGAACAAAAAATCGTACAAATCTTTATATGACTTGACTACGTCAGAAGATGAGCGGAAAGTATAACAAAAACTTGGAAAATTGACTCCATGCTTTTGTAAAGTGGTGATGTACTTCGTAGGATTTCCTTCTTTGTCAAACCAAAGATCGTAAAGGTTTGTCAAAGCATCAAACTTTTTTGTGCCAGCTTTTTTCATCAAATTGAGAAATTTGTTCACTTCTATGCCTGTCCCCCTTATAATTTCAAGTCGCGTTCGACCAACCATTTCATGAAATAGAAATTTTGTTAATCCTTCAATAATATGCGTATCAATTTTAGTAGAATATGTTAAAAAATTCAACATAACTTTGAAAGAAATTCCAGAGCCTTCGAATACTGTTAAAATTTGTTTTTTGTTACCGTCTTGGTCAAAAAACATTGTATACAAGTCAATAATTATTTTAGAGGAGTGAGATGTTTTACCCTGCAAAATTTTTAAAAGAAAATCTATCGAACATCCATTTTTTTCGAAAGTTTTTATGTAATGAGATTTATTTCCTTGTTCATCAAGAAAAAGACTGCAAAGTTCAGCAAACACTTTTGGAGCTGACATTCCTGATTTTTCCAAAATTTTTGATAAAACAGAAAAGCCTATTCCACTGCGTTCTAGCTTTTCAAAATGGATGGACTTATTTCCAGCTTCATCGAATATAAGATAAAATAAATCTTTGAATTTTTTCACCACAAAATTTTTAGTGCCAAACAAAATCATGGAAATCGTTTTTAAATCTATGTTGTGTGCTTCTAAAGTTTTCAAGTAATGCGTTTTGCTTCCCTCTTCATCCAAAAGTAAATTATACAATTTTTTAAAATTTTCAGCAGCTAGTGGACCAGATCCTAACAACATATTACGAAAAATGACCATACTTATACCGTTTTTTTGCAACATTTTAACATATCGCGTTTTATTTCCCATTGTGTTTATACAAAGATCGTACAATTCTTTGTATGATTTTGCTGCCCTAAATCCACTGTCTCTCAAAATGTCGGTAAAAAATTCTAAATTAATGCCATTTAAATATTTTGTTTTGCGTCCATCTTTGTCAAACCATAAATTATAAAGTTCTTTGAAAGAAGTAGCTGCGTACATTCCAGACCATCTCAAAATTTGAAACAAAGCTCTTAATTTAATTTTGTTTGCCTCTATAGTTTTTAAATATTGTGTTTTATTTCCATACTCATCAAACAAAACGTAATATAAATCTAAAAAAATTTTCGAGCCACGCTGGGCACTGTTATGTATAATAGAGGACATTGTACTTAATGTTATTCCTTCCTTCTCTAATGTTTTTAAAATCATTGTCTTATCCCCGTTCTTATCAAACCATAAATTAAATAAGCTTATAAAAGTTTCTTTAAATTTTTTTTTAGATCCAACTATAATGGTTGACATAGTACTTAATGAGATATGGTGTTTTTTTAATGTTTGCAAATAAAAAGAAGCTTGACCATTTTCGTCAAACAACAAGTCATGTAATAGGTTAAAACCATTTTTTCCAGTTTTTTCTAACATACCACCAATTTGACGTAAATGAATTCCATGTGATTCAAGAGATGCAAGCTTCTGTGTTTTATTGCCCTTTTGATCAAACCAAATATTGTATAAATCAATAAATCTGTCTTTTATTTCTAGAGATTTAAGGATGGGTAAGATAGCACTTATGACGCTTAAATCTATTTTATGTTTTTGTAAAGTTGCTAAATAATTGGTTTTATTTCCCTCCTCATCAAAAAGTATGTAATAAAGTTTCTTAAAATCTTCAACGCATGCAGTACCTCTTCGGCTTAACATAGAAGTAAATAAAGTGATTTTTATATTTTCACGTGCTAAGGATTTTGAGTACTTTGATAAATTTCCACTTTTATCAAACAATAAATAATAAAAATCTTTTAAGATACTGGCTGCATTTTCTTTAGAATGTGCTAACATATTGCTTAAATTGTTTAAATTAACGGAATTCTGTTCAAACACTTGTAAAAAGTATGTTTTATTACCATCTTCATCGAAGCAGATATCATATAAACGTTTTAACGCAACTACACCATTGGCATTTGAGCTTCCTATAATGTGTGATATATTGCTCAGTTTAACACTTTCATTTTTAAAAACATTCAAATATTGTTTTCCTTCTCCATAAGTTATGTATTTCATAAATTTATAGTACCAATGTCTGTTTTCTATACTTTTTGTTGATACTACAATTTTACCAAATTTTATAATTTCTTTATTATTTTGATACTTATGGACATTGTAAGTAGATCTGTCTAATTGGATGTCATAAAGAATTTGTTGCATCAATTTTTTTGTAATGGAACCAAATTCATACGACTCTAACCATCTCAACACTAACTCCTCTAACTCGTCATAATTGTAAGGAACTTCAGATTTATTGACAGCTTTTTTGACCATCTGACATAATTTTTCGTTTGATGGTTGGTCACTCGCAAATATTAATTTATCCAAGAATACTTCTTTGGTTGACTGCTTGTCAGTGACTTTCAAAGCTGGAGTGAATTCTAATGAGTCTATTAATTTTTTGTTCTTTTCTAAGGGGAATTGGTAAAGACTTTGCGTTGAAAAAGATGAAAAATAATTAAGAATTTTATAATTTCCTGGATCTTTTATATTTTCACATTGAAATACAGAATGACTTTTTGTTTCACTGTTCTTTAATTCGTTTTCCTCACTTATATTCAAACTTTGGTTTGCAAATACAATAAAATTTTTTATCTTTATGCTATCATTTTCTCTCTTTTCAGCAGCAAAAATATTTAACAGCTTCTTAATCCTAGAGTCATTCTTTTTACGTTTGTTAGGAAATATATCTTCAATACTATCACTTAAATCAAGCGTTTTAACATAAGTTATTTCATCTTTGCAACAAACAGCAATAACATTAGATACACTGTTGCTTTGGTAATTAACAAAAGATATTTTTTCATGCAAAAACATATCATGTACTATAGACAAAAGTAAATGATATTCGTAAAGAAGCATACGTTCAAAATTTCTAACATCAATAGAACTGTTGAGAATTTTTTTTTGTAATTTTGTATAACTAGTTTGAGTTTTGTGTTTTATTTCATTACAAATGCAACTTTTTAATTTTTCTCTGTTAGGTTGCCCAACTACAAGCAAAAACTTTTTTATGAACAACTTTTTTATCTTACGTTCGAATTTTTCTGAAATATTATTTTCATCAATAATTTTTTTAATGGCTGATGTCAAATGTAAATAATTTAAAAGATAGTTTTTTGTTTCTTTGCATCTTGAGAATTGATAGAATCCATGATTGTTTGTATTATCACATACATCTAAGAAATGGTTTAAAATATCATCACAATCCTTTGAAATATTTCTCATTTCTACTGTACAAGACACTCCAGTGGTTTTTTGCTCCAACGTA